TAATGTAAAGAACATTCTGTGAAAATGTAACCTTGATATCTTTAATATTGACTGAGTAAGGCCATTTCAAAATTGAAATAATATTTTGATGCTTGTTATCTCATAATTAGATTTAGAGACTTTAGCCTGAATTTCACAGACAGGGTCACAAATACACATAATGATGGACTTACAGGCATCATAGAGGATTGTGAAAATACAGCATTTCACTAGAACTTGGTCTTCATTACACTCTATGGAACCCTTTAAAAAGGGTTCTATTTAGCACCAAAAAGGGTTCTGCTATTGTTACAAGCTGAAGAACCCTTTTCTGGTACTGTTTAGAACCATTTTTCTTAAGAGTGTACAGTACATCGTGTTAGAGTGCTACACATGAGAACTTAATATCTATGGGGTAAATATATAAATATTATATAGAAATATATAAAATTATAATTTCTCCTACCTCTCCAGATACAGGCAGGCCCGGTTCCAGAATCAAATCACTGAGAGTGCTTCTGAAATCTGTGAGGGTGCTCTAGCCTTAATGCTTACATCTATTTTGACATATTTTTCCCTGTCCATTGATAGTGACATCTGCATACAAATGCCACAGTCACTGGTCCTCTTAGCATCATGAAAAACAAAACTTATTAATATTCTGAATGATAGCCAAGAAAGCGCACAAAGAGCACTCCCTTATAGGCTAATTAAAAAGCTCATCACTCATTTCAGTTTATCACGATCTCACAGAGTTAGTGTTAATTTTGACAGGCATTTTTGATTTAGTCTTAGTCTTTAGCTTGAGACGAAAATGCTTAATAGTCTTAGTTACATTTTGGTCATTTGAGTCTATCATAGTTTTAGTCGGCGAAAAGTCATTGCATTTTTGTCAACTTTTATTCATTACTTTTAGTCAAACTGCAGTTACCAACATTTATTTTGGTAGCTATTTTATATGTAGTCTTCAAACAAAAATAGTCATTAATTCTTCTCTCTTTAGACCAAATCAATTAAGCTTATGAGAAATTTGAATCAAGGATTGAATTTGGAAAAACTTGAATAAATTATGACAATTTTCATTTTTGGGTGAACTATCCCTTTAACAGTAGTGAAAAGGGAGCAACTTATAAAAATGATAGTTGTTCATATATAATATATAATTTATAATCGAGACGTCTGGTCACCTTATCCCTAACCCTTCGGGTGCTGAGGCCATTGTTTCAGATTGCTAGTTCGCGTTTTGGTGGCCTATCCATCCACTGGGGCTGCCATACTGAGAGACTAGACATGCAAACGCCCCTTATCCGATTGCAATCCAATGACAGGGACGCACATTTTGAAGGACAAGAC